TCACCTATGTTCATGAGCTTTGGGTAATGACCGAAAGAACGAGATCGCAGATACATATGGCCGAAATGAGTTTCCGCCGTAGGGTGGCCGGGCTAAGCCTCAAGAGATAAGCTTGGTGTATGCTTGACGCATTCACGTTCCGCTTGGTGATGCGGCTCGCGGATGGAACGCGCTTCACAACTTGCAGCATTTATGGTTCATGCGGCTTGTCTCTGCGGTGAGCCAATATTCTCCGAAACTGAACGGGGCAGCATGGAGCTCTACGGCATGCATCTAACACTACACCGTAGTAGAAGTAAAAATTACTGTTGTTTACAACATGGTATTCCAGCATTTTTAACAGCGTCCTCGTCCTTTCTGACAGTGCAAGCTATTTCTCTCCAAGAATTATTAACAACATGTTGATCACGGTGATCTTTGGGAGCTGAATCATACAAATGTCTGTATTTACGAACGTCTGCTGTACTAGTTCTTGGCAGTCCGCCATGTTTTTCCGCTTCCGACCGTCCGCGTGGTTAGAAAATTTCCTAGGTGCGCGGTGCGAAAATTTTGGGCCGTGCGGAGGCGCTGTGGAGGGGCATGACGCAATTTCGCCGTGCAGACCTCGCAGACGCGTCAAGCTTAAACCAACCTATAGGGTGAGGAGCTCGGACATTCGGGAGGGACTCTGAGTAGAACCGCTGCTCCTCCGGATCAAAAGGAGTCAGTTGAGGTGGTGTGGGCATCTGGTCAGGATGCCTCCTGAACGCCTCCCTGGGGAGGTGTTTCGGGCATGTCCTGCTGGCAGGAGGCCCTCGGGTCAACCCAGGACACGTTGGAGAGGTTACATCTCCTCACCTATGGTCATGAGCTTTGGGTAATGACCGAAAGAACGAGATTGCGGATACAGATAAGCGGGATAAGCGGAGGAAGACGACGACGACATCTCCAATCTGGTTCGGGAACGCCTTGGGGTCCTGCCGGAGGAGCTAGTGGAGGTGGCCGGGGAGAGGACTGTCTGGAGCTCCCTAGTTGGGATGCTGCCCCCGCGACCCGGACCCGGATAAGCGGAGGAAGATGACGACGACATAGGAAAAACAAGTTTCATGGATTCTTTTTAAATGTACTGATTTTTTTGAAAACAAGTTTAATGAACAGATGGGAAGTACAACATAAGAAAAAAACACATTTTAGAGAAGAATTAAACACTCAAATGGCTTGTTAATTAAATAAAAACATGCATAAAAGCACCTTTATAAATAGTTTTGATAGTCTTTCTGATATACATTTTAGTGCTTACGTGGTTGAAAAATGGGGCGAACGGCTATTTGTCCATGTGAGGCTGCCATAGTGTGACGTCATCAACCGGTGCAGGGTCCTTAGCAGATAAAAGTTTTCCTAAATCGGCTATTGGCCAAAATTATTTATAAAAGTCGATAATTTTTTTAATTAGGCACTTCTGTGGCCAACAGCCACCTAAAGTTCAATAAATATCCAAATATTTATTGACCTATTTCATTTATATTGCGCACAGTGAGTGTTCAGTTGTCTTTCACAATCAATGTGCTGCTAAAACGTATACAAATAGGCCTTAATAATCACCTTTAGATATAGGCCATTTGCAACAAAATTTGTTAAAAATCGGTAGCAGCATCGGCCTTAAAAAACCATATCGATCGGCCTCTAGCAAGGGCCCTGTGTTATTTACTGCTTTATCTTTTTTATGGCTTTGCCATCACAGTAACCGTCTTCTACAAACACTGGTACTAACTCAGTTGAGCAAAGGTGTAATGACTGAAACATTATGGAGTGTTTGATAAAAAAGATCAAAGTTTTGTTTCGGGGACTCTTTAGAAGAATGGATGGTGTTTTGAAATGGGACAACACGCAGAAGCCTTGAAGTGTTAACACCGAACCCTTTTACCTGTCATTCAACGTTCCCCCAGCAGCAGGTTAGCCTGAGCTCAGCCCTGATCCAGGAGACAAGTTTGAACAACACCTGACATGACAGCCTGCTTAACCATCTCCATTAGAGCCAATGAACACTGAGAAAAAGCAGACCGCCTCGCTCTCCAATTTGGTGCCTCTGGGGTCAAGTTGCAGGAATATGTCAATTACTTAAATTGATCAGGAGACGGTTTCCTTGATAACCAATTTGATCAAGCTGCCGATCGTGTTACACACATAGCGCTACAAGGGAACCAAAGGGGCTGTCTGAAAAATTGGTTGGCCACACTAAAACTACTCGATGTAATTTCCTTTTGCGAAAGTAATTCTGTTTAGTCATGTCAGGTGGTAGATGGGGCCGCAGCCAGGGCCTGTAAACAATGGCATTTCAGTTGATTTAATTAGCCAGAGAGGAAGCATTTAGGGGCTTAATTGAGATTGCAGTGGGAAATTGCTCTAAAATGGGTCTACCTGATTCTTTTTTCTTCTCTCTCTCCTCACAGCGAGCATGACGAGGGATTTCACTCTCCTCTTTGTAGATAATTAGAATTACCGCAATCACTCCCTGGATGACCTGTGATTGGTGAAAGCCACATGCCAAAACCAAAAATGTAAAGATTGTGTATGTTTGAGTGTGTTTGCTGTCAGATCCGGATATTTGGGTTGAAGTGCATACAGGAGGGTTTTCTACATGCAAACAGACAGCTTCTAATGCTTTTTTGTGCCTTAGATGGCAGCATTGCTCTTTGTGTTTCTACATTTAAATGTTTCTGTTAAATTCTGATTATTAAATATGCTTGGTGTGTTGTTGAACTGCAAATGCTAATTGGTCGGTTCAAAATCAGAAAATAATTTTTCAGTTAGAATATTTTCAAGAATAATTGGTCCTGTAAAGAATCAGGCTCATTAAAGCAAATAAAAACAACATTTTTGTGTTTTTGAAACTTTAGTTTAAATTCTTAAAAAAACAAAGACTAAAAATCTCTGGTCACTCATAACCATTTCGATGTGTTGCTATTTCAGTTTTACTTCAAAACTTAAGCCTACACGTCGTTTATAGTTTTTAACACGATGATGCTCTTTCATCTTTAGTTTTATTTATTTAAAGGTTACATATTATGAAAAAAAACCCCACTTTTTGGAGCTTTTTACCATGTAATATTTTCATTTCCTCGTGAGCAGTACCCCCACACCCTTTTTTGTCTGCATTCACACGTTTTCTTATCTCAGCTGCAATTTGGTTGATATAAAGATTTTTCCTGCAAATGAAAGAAAGTAGCCCACTTGGTTAGCAGGCATTTCTCCTCCCCCGATCCTGGTCTGGTCTTGGTTCTGAAACTGGAAATTCTGACAAATGACTTCTGCATTGGAGACAAAACACCACCGTAAACACCATGCATCTTGTCTACAAAGATGCACATAATGGCCAATGGTTAAGGACGTGTGTCTTAGGCAACTATGGTTTTATAACAGACTTGCTAGTCCAGAAGTTAGAGTGCTGGACTAGCATGTAGTTTTGCTCAGGTTCACCTCTCCGTCACGGCATTAACTTATATTCTTCTTTATTTAGCTACATTTGCCAGTGTGATGTTTTCAGTCCTTTATTGGTAAACTTTTAAATATAAGGACTAATCTGTTTTTTTTTTTTTTTTTGTTGCTTTCTTGGTTTATTTAGCCGGTGTAAGTCCATGTGAGGTGAGCTGAGTAAATCAACTAAAAGGCGGCTTGAAAATGACTAAAGGCTCATTTTATCAGAGCGGGTGTGAGCGGAGCTTCGCTAAAACAAACCAGTATAAATTCAGACTGACAAAAATAACTCGTATTTAAGATAAATGACATCCGAATAGTGCCTACGGTAATATTTTGCCATGTATTGTGCCTACCTTTGCTCTCAAATATTTAAAATAGCATTATGGAACCTTTAACGGAATAAATATGAAAGAGAAAATGTTGCAAAACCTTTAATTAAACTACGTTTAGTTAACCTGGTTTGCTGTTGGACGTAGTAAAGCTGATTTCTTCGCCAATTGATAGTAAAATGATAAATGTATGCACATGCACCTTCTATGGTACTACAACCCCCCAAGGTGCTTTACAAAACAGGCATTCACCCACACACTCACATTCACACATGTGGGCTGCTGAGCCCTGGCCCCGCCGGTCCATCTCACCACCACCGCCACCAGCAGCAGACAGCAGGGTTAGGTGTTTTGCCCAAAGACAGAACATCTGCAACAAATAGGAATCAAACCTGCAACCCTCTGATTATGGGGCAGGCACTTAACTCCATCTGCCACCACTGCTCCTTTACTCATTAAATCTGCCAAGCAATTTGTCAGCTGATTGATTTTTCCAACTTAAATCAGAATAAATTAAAGGTGCATTATGTAAAAATTAAGTAAAAACAACATCCTGTGGTAACATTTGGTTACTGCAACCACTTTAAACAACTCTGGAACTTTTTGTGGGCAGTCGTCAAATAAGTATTCGGCACTGCTGTTTTAGCTCCCAGGAGACGACACCCCCACACTCACTGACGGTGAACAGCAGTTACGTCCCTCCTTCCTTTGTTTGAAAGAAGAAAAACTGATAATCTCTACAGCCAGATGGATATGAAATATGTTTCAGTATAACCTTTCTTCCAAACATTAGACTCTTTTGGGATTTTCTCACTATAAAATTCTCGCTATAGTCCCTTTAAATAACACCCTCTTGAATGTTCTCGTAATTTGTTAAAAATATTGATATAAATTGTGAAATTCTGCTTTTTTTTGTCAGATAAACCATTGGCCAAGAGAAAACCACATCAGCTGATCTCTAACCATTTAACTGCATGATAAAGTAGTCTAAAAATTTTTTAGAAACAAATCTAATTTTTGAATAATATAAATGATGAAGATTCACATAATCAAAAATAACATGCAAAATTATGGGATGTTATTGTTTTATACACCACCACATTTATGATGAACTAGACCTATAAATGATAACATGATCTAAACCAGGTATACATTTATTCAAGAACAACCCACTTCCTGAGTATTGGTGAACGTTTTTTCTTTCTGCCCCTGCAGGCGTTTGGCTTCATGTCACGAGTGGCTCTGCAGGCCGAGAAGATGAACCATCACCCAGAGTGGTTTAATGTTTACAATAAGGTAACGGCATGCTCGTAGCATTAGTGCAAACAGAATCCATAAAGGTTTGTTTATTTAGCGCCAGTTATAGAAATCTCAGCTTGTGGAATCAGACCGTGTACACTTGGCTTGTTACAGGTTACAGACTGATAAATCAGCTCTGGATAAAGTCAGATTTTTTATCAAATCAAAAAATCATCACTGGTTCTGGAGAGCTTACCTCTCAGAGCCTGAGACACAGAAAATAATCCCGTCGTTTTTCTCTCACCTTGTGTGTTACCCTGTGCCATAAAGGTAAAGAAGTGTTTGACATGATTTAGGCAGTCTCTCAGATTCTTCTAGCAGAAAATCTCTCAGCATTAGGCAGCAGCCACTGTGTTGGTGTGTGGTGCAGCGGGCTGCTTTAGGAGGAATGCTGCTCCTAATCCAGTCTTTATTAAAGTGGCTGCAGGTCTCCGAGCCGTTCCAGCAGATAAATCCCACGTTGATTTGAGCTCAGCTTGAACAGAACTCATGATCTACGCTCATACTCATACTAATGTTGCCAAAAAGTAGCTGATAATACAAGTTTACAAGTTATCTCAGTCAAATATTAAACATTATTGAGTACAGCCACATAATTAATCCTTTGTGTGCTTCAGCAGCATCCCACAAAGAACAAAACCAAACTGGTCCTCTCGTATTACCCCAGGACTAATTTACTTACAAAAACGTTTAATTAAACAACAAAAAAAAAAAATTGGAAGGGGGGTGTTGATTGATTGATCGATTAGAAATTCAAAAATACTTTAATGATCCCAGAAGGAAATTAAATGTCGTTGTAACTCATATTCTGTCAAGCAGTAATAATAAAATAATATTAATTATATTAACAAATACATTATTATTCTTTTTGATTAATATGATAATAATAATAATAATAATAATAATAATAATAATAATAATAAATAGACTATGTGGATTTTGATATGATAGATGGATAATGTATAATAATTTTTGTTTTATTTTTTGATCCAATAGTTTCTTTTCTTTTTCTTAAATCAACATTTATTTAACAATGCTTAAGTAGCCTGCACAGTTATAAAACACACAGTTAATTAGTCCGTTGATTAAACAGTCGCATAAATAACTTTCAGTCACATCTCACTAAAATGTTTTTAAACGGTTTCTTATTTTTTTGGTTTTATTAAAAATGTTGATGGGTTGTGAACAGGGATGGTTCTGAGGGGGAAGTACTCCGCTGGGGGCCCCTGTTAAGGGAGGAGCCTAAGCATGAATAAGTCTTCATTTGTTGCAAGATATGGAACCAGGGCATGCATTGCTGAGATAAATTACTAAAATGTCAAAGTATTATTGAAAAAATATTTAATCTAAAACAAATTAATTAAATATTAAGATTTGAAATACTTAAAGGCAATGTTTGTAATGCTTTCTTACAATGGTGCCAGAGCAGCTGTCCCCTGCAGGATTGTCTTTAGTTGAATCTGCGGCTATGTCATGCACAAAACTCTTAGTTATCCATCCATTTTCTGAACCCGCTTGTCCACGTAGGGTCGCGGGGCGGGCTGGTGCCTATCTCCAGCAGTCAGTGGGCAATCAGGTGGGGTACACCCTGGACAGAGAGCCAGTCCATCGCAGGGCAAACACAGGACAAACAATCTCACTCTCTCTCTCTCTCTCTCTCTCACACACACACACACACACACACACACACACACACACACACACACACACACACACACACACACACACACACACACACACACACACACACCCTAAGGACAATTTGGACAGACCAACCAACCTAACAGTCATGTTTTTGGACTGTGGGAGGAAGCCGGAGGACCCGGAGAGAACCCACGCATGCACAGGGAGAACATGCAAACTCCATGCAGAAAGATCCCAGGCCGGGAAGCGAACCCAGGACCTTCTTTCTGCAAGGCAACATAGTTATTTTACATCAAAATGTATATTTTACCAAAACAAGAAAGGATAAAGTTTAAAAATATGATGCTGTAATTTTAAATATACGGCAGAAACATTCAATGAAAAGGACAAAGCTCAACAATTATAAATAACTAAATAAAGGTATTCTACTAATCTGCATCTTTGTCTCAACACCTGCTTTAATCTACGTTCTTGAAAAGGAGCAGGAAGAAGTACAAATATATATTTGTATATTTTTCTGTCATATTTACTAAAATCTGACAATATTTATATTTTTCCCCAGAGAAGTATCAATCTTATTTCACAGTAAATTTTCAAATGAATGCTGTTTTTTTTTTTAAATTGCTATGTGGTTGAAACCGTGTTTGTTTGACTTCACAGGTCCAGATTACGCTGACCACACATGACTGTGGAGGCCTTTCCAAACGGGACATCAAAATGGCAAAGTTTATTGATAAAGTTGCTCTTTCCATGTGATGTTTTTGGGTTTTCACTCATTCAAAACTCACCTGTTATTGTTTCTTACAGAATCTATAAACATATAATTTAACATTTCCTTTTTGCTGCGCATTGTAATCAGAATAAACCACTGATGTTGTATTCACTTATGCTGATGTGTTTGGTTTCTTTACTCTCTGAGACAAAGCTTAGTGCCGCAGACATCACTTCACTATGTTGCCGTTATGCTTGTCCTTAGTTGTGCTTTTTTAATTACAGCGGGCATTAACCTGGAAGTGCTCTTCAGCGATCTGTGCAGGACTAGCCAGGGATCGAGAGGATCGACTATTTTCCCACCTCGGCCTCCCTGAGGCCACATGTTTTTGTTTTGGCTCAGCAGACAGGAGCAAAAGAAGGTCAAAGTCAGTAAGAACAGGATTTCATTAGATTTACAGTTTGGTAATGAATGCCATTAGAATGAGATCAAATAAAGTCGTGTAACAGCCTTTCTCTCTGTCCCCTGAGTCTGCAGGAGGAAACTGAACGTGTGATGCTCTTCTTTTCTTAAATATTTATGTTGCCCTGAAGCATCTGCTGAACATCTCCAGGACTCGGCTGGTTGTGGTTACTAAAGACAAGCCCGAGTCTACAAACGAAAAGCAACCATGGCCCTTATTATAACATCAGTGTAAAAGGGCTCCTAAGTTAGCTTTCTCTAACCTCCTTTAGCAGCAGGTGCATCCATCGGATATTTCCTGTAGCTTATGAGGTTTGCACAACAACAACAATGCCATATCTGTAAAAATAAGTCATTTTTGGTTTCACTAACTTTGATTAGCTATGGCAGCCATTTTTTCATTAGGATGATAAAGTTTTCTACACATTTACCTCTTCACTAGTTGCCAGTGATAAAAGAGAGTCTGATGCGATTGTCATTTTTGCTGGAGATTTTGCTCCCAGTGATTTTTGACCCTAAACCCTGAGTCATGCTTCTGCGTCTGCGTCAGTGCAGAGACACGCAACGCCATTATCCGTCCTTGCGAGCCTGCTGGAGAGCCCTCGCAAGGACGGACGTAGTCGAGCGCTCTTTTCTAAACATCCGTCCATCGAGACGGAGAACGCAAACTTGTGATTGATAAGGGCACCGCTGTCATCTACATAGCCACCATTGCGCCCTCACAAACCTAAAGTGAGCCTAGGATATCTAACGGCAGACACGGAGAAGCTTGAAAAATTACCTCGCGAACAAACTCTAAAAATATGAGTGTTTAATTCCCCCGTGACTGGAGGAGTCAAAAGATGCGCAACAAGTGTTTTATTTGTGGACGGAAATGACAGGAAGCGTGGGTTTAGAGGTGGCGAGTGCATGAAGAGGTGGAGGAGGATGAGAGACAAATTTGTCTGTGTTAAAAAGTCTCTTTTATACAAAACACACAATATAAACACACTATCTTGGACCGGATACATGACAGGATACCACAGAGCAGCGCTACGCCCTCTACTGTCTTGGCAGGGAATTGCTTTGCAACACTCCCCAGGAGACGGAGAAGTATGAGGGAAAAATGTCTCCGTCCGTGCGTGCGTGTCTCTCCCATTTGGAGCTGACGGAGAAGTATAAATCCAGCTCAATGGCCATCTGTTGGTAAGGTCTTACTCGTATACAAGTACTGCTTTCTTGCAGTGATTTGGGGATGTACTGCTCCCTATCGGCAGGGAAATTGCACACTGTAGAAAAAAGTCAGTTAGAAACCAGACTTTCTGGGTTTTTTGGAATGGGGTAAATGTAATCCAGATAACCGATGCTACTCTGAACACATGCTCAACAGTTTGTTCAGTTAGCTGTAAGCAGAATTCGGAAGCAGCTGGAAACACCATCCAGATGCTACAAAATCATCAACCTGTTGCACCTCTCATCTCACCAGTCGACAAATAAGGTTTCATCTGTCAGTTTGAGGCTGCTTTGAATAATTTTTGCTTTTGAAAAATAATTTCCAATAATTCTGCTTAACTGTAAACACGTGCTGCAACGCTAGGAGGCAACTTACTTTAGCTTTAGATTATGTCATATTCTGCATTCATAATGAGGTCACAGAGTGTGTTGGTTGATGACGTGAGAACAGCTGAACCAAACATTTCTTCGAGTTTAAGGCCACATTGTGACAAAGTGAGACGGCGGCTTTGTGTAAATCTGGAAACCAAAGGTGTTTTTAATGTTTCCAACACAAACCACAGAGCATCTGTTTGCATTTCCCTGATCTGTAAGGTCTCGTGTGAACAAGCACACTACCATAACTACTTGACCGCTTAGAGTAAATGTCATTATGAGAATAATAAACAGACGCTTCTGCACAGTTCTTTACTATTTATTTTTTATCTTTATACACATTTAAGGCATTAAGGTGCGAGGTTTGTAACTTTAGTCTTTTTAGATCTTGCTTTTCAAACAGTTGCATGGGTGATATTTGGGCAAGACAATCTAACAACACACAAAGATCAAATGAGTAAAATAGATATTATTTTATTTACTGTGTGTTTTTTAAAGGTTGGTTAAATAACTATATTAAGCTGCTTTTTAACTGGTTATTTTAAGAAGTTTAGCTCAATTGTTGGATTTTTATCAAGTATCCAAAGTTTGTCTTCAAAAATGTTAATCATGTCACATTTTCATTGACTTTTTAAAGGGGAACTAGGTGGTTTTGGCTTGCTTTTAGCACCCCCTAGTGTCCGCTTGTAGAAACAAAAGCAAAACCTTTTTCCTCGCCATGCGGTCGTATTTTTAACACATTAATCTAACAGCTGAAGTGTCTCCACAGCCTTCCTTAGTGTCTACAGGAGTGATTCATCACTAACTGAAACAAATTAGCTGAGTTCATGATCCAAAACATGCAGGAAGCAGACTGCAGCACCAGGTATGTCAGCTCAATCTTTTCTCAATCTCAACAGCTCTGCCCGCCATTCTGAAGTTGCAAGTTGAATATTCTGGCCACAGGTGGCGATGGGGGCTGGGTGGCCTTTCATTGACCCTGTAAATGGTCATTTTAGCCAATACTGGCTCAAGAAAATGATTAAAAAGCGTGAAAAAGTTGCTAAGTTTCCCATAAACAACTAAAAATATCATTTCTGGTGTCTCAGCTCTATGCTGTGTTTAAGAATCATGAAGCCAGACTTTTATATTTGAGAAGCTGAACTGGTCAACATCATGAACCTTCTGTTGCAATAGTTTAAATCTTCTTTTAAGTCTTTTCTCAAAGAGGCAAATCCTCTTGGTGCTATTTCTCCATCCCTAGCTGTGACCGGTGGTCTTCTTTTTATTAATGCTGAATTTGTTGTATGTTGCTGCTTTGACACCAGGGGTGTCAAACTCACACGGGGCCGAAATGAAAATCTGGGACGAAGTCGCGGGCCACACTTAATATTTTATGAAAAAGTGACGGCTAATTTGCACATTTTCTTTATCAACATATATGCAATTTTGAACCTTTAAATTTGGAAACAAACTCATTTCTGCATTAACACTGAATGTGGAATAACCAGATTACACACGAGCAAGTCAGTTTGAAATAAAACGCATCAGTGGTATTCATTACTTGTGGTATTATCAGCATTTTTAAAATCTATTCAAGATTTGTTTTCTTGTTTATTTGTTTTTCTTATTTTTTATTCTCCTTTTTTTCTCCTGTCATAAGTGTCATCGCTGCTGTGACATCTAGCTTTCCCCACTGAGGAACAATAAAGGGATTTTCTATTCTATTCATCTATCTGCAGCCTTTCCACTTCCTGTTTACTGTAGGTTAAATCTTTTCTCACGGGCCAACAACAAAACAAAAATGTCAATTTATCTTAAATGAAAATGCAACATCTCACCTGTTAACTTTCATGTTTTGGAGCAGAAAAAGAGCATAAAACCAACATACCGTATTTAAAGCTCAGTTTGCTCCACTGGTTTACTGTGATGCTCACCTGTTCCAGCCAGATACCTGCATCATGGGGTTGATCTGAGCTGAGGAGGAGACTCCTGTTGTTTTGTTCATCATCATCACAATAATGACATTAGATGACAACAGGTGCTCACATAGGTTTGTGCTGCTGAACATGTCTGAGCAGCTTGACCACGTCGTTGTGTCGGGGAGGAAAAATAAAAACCAGCAGCCACAGAGTCATGCTGATTTGAGCGTGTCGCTGCTTGCTGGAGTTATATCAGCTCTGTCTGGAAGTTAGTTGGAAAACTTACTCTTTCAGTCGTGAACACATTACTGAGCGGTTAAAATCTCCATTTCTGGGCTTCAACGTCGGCAAATAGCTTAGTAAACTCGGCGCGGAGTGAGAGGAGTGTTTAGTTTGTCCAAGACAGCGGAGCTGCAGACGCTGGCAGCAGGCGCTGGAAAAAAAACACAAAGGAGGGGGCGCTTCGACTTCGCCCGAACACCGCAAAGCATCATGGGAGTTGTAGTCTTTGTGGTAAAATCGGCCAGCGGGTCAGTTTTAATTTATATTTTATATTTATCTCGCGGGCCACATATAAATGCTCCGTGGGCCACATATGGCCCGCGGGCCTTGTGTCTGACACATGTTTTACACTGTCAAACAAATAAAAAGAAACAAACGCATTGAGTGTTCCATGATTTGTAAATCACTGAATTCTGGCTATCCTTTTGCAGATAATCTGTATCTTAGTTGGGCTGTTTTTGCGTTTTGATTATCCAGAAGATATATGCAACAAAACCTTGATCGGGACTCCAAAATGAATGTTGTCAAGGTCTTTAGTCGTATTATCCTGATACGAGATGACACTGTATTTGCAATTATTTCAATAAGCCTGTTGATTAGGATCATTTTAAATCTGCTAAATAACCTAAAATTAAACCCATTTTTTAGGCTATCTGACTTCATCGCCCACCTTTGTTTTCTGAGAAGAACGGAGGACGAAGGCTTTGTGAAAGCGCCTTTCCTCTAAAGCCGAGCCGAGCCAGGAGGGGCCAAATGTGGCCCTCTCAGATATTTGGCCTCAGCTGATGGCCAGAAGCAGCAAGCAGCCGAGTCAGCCCTCCTATTAGTGAACTCCCTGCTTTCTGGTTCCCTAATCCGTTTTCAGCTTCACCTACTAATTCTGCACTGCCAGCAGTTGAGCTTACACACACACATGCACACACACTAGAGGAAGCAAGACAAA